AAGTACAGATATTCACTAGAAAAGCACTGCTATAACAAGTACTGTACGGTATACTGCTTTTGTTATTTTAATAAATGTCTAACGAACAAGTCTGGCGTAACATTAACTGCGATGTACAAGCTTTACAACAAAACAAAATTGAAAAGTCACCTTCAAGGCACAGCTGTGTTGAGAGAATACTAGCGGCCTGGGAAAGCCTCCCAAGTGACATTATCAAGAAGAGTTTTGAAGTGTGTGCGATCTCGCTACCCATTGACGGATCGGAAGATGAGAAAATCCACTGTTTTCAGAAAGAAGCCCACTAAGAAATGGGAGGGAGGAGTTTACTGAAAGGGCCGCGGCATTTTACGCTGCGCTGGGACGAGGTGCTCCCCTAGATGAAAACGACCCATTCGCGGACCTAGAGCCGGACATTTTCGAAGAAGAACGTAATGAGATTGTTGTCCACGAAGATTAGCCGATTAGAACACAAACATTGTTGCGAACGTTTGTTGATACAAACATAAAGGACGTTGGTGACATTTCCGTTTTTAAACTTTAAACGTTTTGTTCTGTTTGCATAAATACTGATTACAATATACACGTGCCGTATGTAATGCCGTATGTAATACCGTATGTATTAGATACAGGGACATTATGTCAGGTCGGGTCCAAGGGAGAAATCGTCCCGCGTTGACAAACTGCGCACGGATCTCAAAGAATGTGAAATAATACATCAACCTAGAAATGATGAAATTTTACTCCATTAATAAACGCCGGACCCCGATTAAACGCTGGCTTCAAATAAACGCCGGGTCCCCGAGGCCAAGTTTTAAATAAACGCCGGGGGCGTTTAATCGAGAAAATACGGTAAGAACTAAACGGCAAACACATTTAACTTATTTAAATATTAATTCACTCCCTGACATCAACAGAAACTCAAGGAATTAACTTGAGCTCGCGGACGCCATCTTGGGTAACCGCAGAGCTACCGAGGTTACATGTACTCAGGCATGCGATGAGTCCTCTGGGAAGAGACTTGGGCAACTTCCTGTGACAGTGGCAATATAAAATCCCATGAATGTCACAATAAGCAGTAAGCAGTCAAAGAATTGATTTTGTTACCAAAACTTCGGCTGAGGATAGGTTAGAAACTGCATGAAGTATACCAAAATACTGAAAACTCACTACAAGAAACGTAAAATACGTTCGCGAATAAATTATTTTCATTTCTTTTTACTGACTAAGAAAAACATGCTACCCTATCCTATTGACCTTTAATGTGCTGTTTGGCCATAAGTCGCTTGGCTAACTACTTTTCAGTCAAGCATCATGTAAACCGCGGTATTCGAAGGGTTGAATTTATCACGATCCGTCTGTTTTTTTACTTTTGGCGATAAAACCTTAACTGAAGACATAGCCTATTCCAGGCTCCGAGATAGTCGAGTCCCCTGAATTGAGAAAGCACAAACACGAAAATAAACTTTTCGCGTACCTTTTTCTTTCGCGTCTTCCCCACTATCTCAGAGCCTGGAACAGGCTACTGAAGACACGAAAACGCGAACCAATACCAGAAGGTGTTTGCTTATTTGTTTGTCTGTTTGTTTATTAACGAATAAAACAGGAAGCCAGTGACAAGAACGAATGCTAACCCTCACGATCACGGTGACCTCCTTTAATTTCATGATATCGACAACGGTCCACAGCGTAATGTGCGTAACACTTGATCTTTTAATTTTCGATAAGATCAGAGCATAACATGGCGCCTTTTAAGAGAAAAGCCTTTTATCATGGGCTAGTAAATCGGATTTGAAATATTAACGTGGATGACGTTACCTCAAGAAACAAGTAAAAGATAACCCCTTGCCTTTATATCCGTAGAAGTCTAGTGGAGAAAGCATAACAGCAATGTTCATGTTCTCATTTGTTTGTTTTATCTCTTGTGTAGTGTATTGATTACCATAGTAACAATTATTTACTATTGAGCTAAAATCAGTGAAGCTGTCATGATCAAATGATCTTTACGTACTACAGCACGAATGTGAAAGTACTGAAACTAAGTAAACGTAGAGTGTGATTGTACTAGCTAGGATAAAGATAGTTGTTCAGTTAATAAAATACATTAAGTAGAAAGCAATGGATGATTGAGCATCTCCTTGTAATGACTAAATTACAACCGGATTAAATTGCGGATACCAGCAATGAAATAAAGGTCGCCTGTTCACGTGTGAGAATTATCGAGTTGCGTTTTTAGTCAACACAACAGTGATAAGTGGATAACAAAGTGTGCCATAAGTCACCTTATAAAGTCAAAGTCGCAATACAAATATTGACAAGAAATACAAGTGCGTTAACCGTCCACGACACCAAGAAATGAACAACACGAAAGGTCGCACTACAATATACGTGTGGTGAGCGAAATATTTTAGGTGTAGACGATGCTAAATGCACAGCGTAAATAATGCAATGTGAGAGAGTAGCGCCTGTTTGTTTGAGTTTCAAATGCCAAAAGAAAGCAAGACTATTGATGTCTGATTTTAGTCAAGAAGCATAATGATTGCCTTTTGAAAATGGATCATGTTTTCCTTTCACCAGGGGAGGGGGAACCGTGGAGCACCCTGAGAAACCTCTGGGCAAGTTTGCACAACGAGATTCACAAATTTCCAGCACCCAAAAACAATACAGTCTTCACAAAAAGCAGCCATTGTCCCTCCCCCAGGGATACATTTGCGTCCTATTTTTGAGTCTCTGTGGTTTTACAGGATGAAGCGCCAAGTCACAAACTACATTACTTCAGTGGAATTCTAAATTAACACAATATTTTCTACTTTCTATGTAAATAATTCCCCTTTCATTTAGAGGTGATTTTTTAGGACTGTTAATTATGAGCGAATAAAGTACAGTCCTGTCAGCTACACATGATGCCCTTCAGCTTCTTATAAGTTGTAGTTTCCTCGTTAAAACTATGTAGGATTTACTGAATATTTCAAGTTCTCTAATATTCAATATTTACCTGAACTGTTCTACATATTTAGAGCCAAAGCTGATGACAGCCGCTGACAGGAACAAAGTCCTACGATAATACGATAATATTATTTGGATCCGGATACTCAGGCTAGCTTAACTTGGCTGAAATGACCGCTGATAAGTGTCTTATCGCTTCACTTTAAGTGAGAACTGTAAATAATATTACGCCATTCCAAGTTAAGGTTAGGTGATAAACTATCAGTGCACAATAGCAGTGTTTCCAGGTGATTAATCCCTAATGAGAAAGGGAATCAATTAATTAAAATTAATTGATTTTTTAACCTCGATGATTAGCCTAGTAATTAATCAGTATTGCGACAAGAGTTGGTGAAGATCTCTGCGCTTTGTTTTGCTTTGCTTGTTGTTTCATTTTTCTTAATTAGAGGATCCGATTTCTTGACTCTTTAAGCCCTATAATGATAAGATGAATACTCTCTTCTCTGTTCTCCCTGGTATATTTATAGTAAGGGGAGTTGACCAACAAAAAAGTTAGAAGGGATGAGAGAATTAGGGGACGCCTACAGTCGAAGTACCTCGGATATCAGACCTGGAGTTAAGGGGGGGGGGGGGGGGGGGGGGAGAAAGGGTAAAACATTTTTGG